CAGTGGAAGGTCCGCGGGAGGACACGCGCGAGCGCCCGGCCCCGCTCCCCGTCGTCGATCGCGAAGCCGCCCTTGTGCCCGCCGCCGCCTCCGCTCCGCCTCCGCCTCCGCCGGCCGGAACCGTCCGCGCCCGTAGAACGGTTTCCAGCGTGTGGTGCAGCCCGGACCTCGGCCGCCCGCCGCCGCGCTCCCGCTCCCGCTCCCGCTCCCGACTTCTCTTTCCGACGCAGCGACGGCGGTCCCGGCGCCTTTAGCCCCGGTTCAGGCGCCTCCCGGAGGGAACTGTCCCCGCGGGGCTGGGGCTGGAGGTAGGGCTTGCAGGTTCGCCGGCGAGGACCGACCTGCCGCGTCCCGCAGGAGGCAGCTCCTCGTCCCCGCGCCGGGCAGGGACGCCGCCGGCGCCGAAATCCTCCTGCGAGACGTGGGTAACGTGGTGCGGTGCGTGGTGCGTGGCCTGTGTGTGCTTTCTTCCAGGGATAATAAAAATAAAAATAGAAATACTACCGCTACGTCTGAACGGCCGGCGCCTGGCTCCCCCAGCGCTAGGGACCGGGCACCTTCAGGCGTGGATCCCGCTCTGGGTCACTTTTGAGAAGTAGCTTTTGGAAGTTTGGGGTGAAATGGAGCCCGGAGCCCGGAGCCTGGTCCCGGCGCTAGGAACGGACCGAGCACCGAGCCCGGGGCGGCTGCACCCGGTCAGGGAGGAAAGGAAGGGCCCGCTGCCTCCTGGTCGGGTCTGGCGTCCCCAAGCTGGCTGTCCCTGAAGGTGGGGAAACACGATGGTGGCGAGGAGCCCCCCTTCCTCTCCCCCCCCCCCCCCAAGAGCTACTGCGTAGAGAGAACAGGGGCGGTTAGGAGGAAACATTTCTAAACGCGTGGGAACTGTTTAAGCCTCTGGGGGTTTGCCCGTGCTTTTAGGAGACACCATAGAACCTGGGAAAGGCAGTTACTGAAGTTTCCTTCGTTTACCTTGTTTTGGGGGGAAAGGTCGTCCCTGAAGAGTCCGGGTGCAGGCACACGTGTCCCGTCCACCTTGGAAGTGAGGACCGGACTCTGCCTTGAGCGTGGCTGACGGTTTTATTAAAGGATCCCTTCCAGGCTCCGTGTGGGGGTGTAAGCTCCTGTGTGGGGCAGGCGCTGTGTTGCCCTGCTCTAGGTCAGCCACAGTACAGTTCGTTACAATAGCAGTTCCCGCTTTCCTGGACGCCCTCACGGGGTGGGGGGGGGGGAGACAGGGGTGAAAAGCCTTGATGCATAACACGGGGAGCTCCCCCCCAGCGGGCGGAGGAGGCCAGGACTACAGATAGGACATTGTAACAGGGCCAGCTCGTGGCGAAGAGTTCCTTGGCCTAAATAAAGATTAAACAACAAAACTCATTTTTCCTTCACAAAACTTCTTTTTAAGTTGGTGGTAAATGTTTGACACACACAAAGACTCGCTGCTTTTGAACAATTTTGCTTTTCAATTTAGGAAAATAGGATTCTGAAATTGGATCGATACTGGGAGGAGAATGGATGGAAAAGTTCACCCTGCGGTGCATTCACTGCGGGTGCCGCTGTGAGCGGGGCGCCTGGGGAGGCGGGAGGCTCCGCTCACTCGGCAGCACTTGGCGGTCCCCCGGGAAGCCTGGGGCAGCGCCTCCATTCGAAGCTGGTACGTTTCACATTTTTAGATTCTGAAATCTACCTCTTCACAGTATCACCCTTCAAGGTGATGGCTTATGCCCACCACCTTCCCCAGACCGTTTCTGTCTTGGAATCGAGGAAGCCTGCGATGTGGAAGTTGGGAGACGAGTGTTTCTGGTCCTTCTCTGTGCTCTGTGCCGAAGAGCATCCCGGGTCCCTGGAGTGTAGACTCCTCCCTGCCCATTTCTCATTTCCTTGGACCTGTACCGGACTCCTCCACAGCCAGCACCTGCTAGCGGTTTAAATGTAAGCTGGTTGCAGTGTGAGGCCTCCCACAGCCCGTGGATTGGAGACTCACCGTGTGTGCAGGCACCGGGGGTCCCGTGGCCTGACCAGGCGGAGCGCAGGCGGATCCTGGTGGCTGCAGCGGTGCCGGCCACTGAGAAGCCCAGGGCAGTCTTTCCTCGGCCTCTGCTGCTGCCCTTCCTCCACCTCCTGCGTGTGGATGTAGAGGCCAGTCCCCCCGAGGAGAGCTGTATTTGCAGGTGCCATTGAGCTTAACTTTCACCGTGACGTGTGGATGTAAACATGTCCTTTCCATTTCCCCCAACTTTTAATTCAGCGTGAAGAGTAAGTAAAGTGGGGTTAAAATCTGAAATTGAACGCAGTGAAGTAATAGGTGCTGGGAGGGCGCCTTTAGAGGGAAAGACTGCAGCCATTTGAAAAGATGGTTGCTTTGGCCGTATTTATGGAGGAGTCTCCAGGAAAAAACACTTTAAAAGTGGTGTTCTAGCTGTACCAGCGTCACAGAGCGTCACTTACTCCTGGAAGCCTTCACCTGTGGGAGGACACAGCTGAGGACAGGCACAGGCTGCAGCTCCCAGGGAGCCCAGTCCAGCGGAAAGGGGTGGCCGGTGAGAGGCGAGTTCCCTCCACCCCGTCCCGTCCTGGCGCCCTGGCGCGGGGCCTTTAGCAGACGGGAGCGTCACGCATTGATTGGGCGGCTGAGGGCTGAGGAAAGGACTGACGGCCATAGATGTCACTTTGAAATTAGCTTTGAAGGTTGGTATTTAATTTGTGTGTAACAGATGAATTGCCCCTACTGTGCAGAGAACTTAGGAAAAGCTGTGTAAACTGTAGGCAGTTCTCGGGCTCGGGATGGGCTCCGGAAGGGCCTGTGAGGTGCAGACGCCCTGCAGAGCACTTAGTCTCCGGCTGCCGGAGGACGCTCTAATGATCCTGTCTTGTGACGTTTGCCCAGAGCTGGCGTTTGTAGGGTCGTGAAAGCCCTGGGAACATGCTCTCTCCTGGCCTTCCTGAGCTACTCAGGCATTTTTACAGGAAGAATTACAGGTTAATGGTTTAAGGAATAACTAGCTTAGTTGCCAAATGAATGCATGTGTGTACAGTGAAATAGCTTTATATACCCTCCGGTACATGTTTTCCTGGTAGGAAAACAAGAGCAGCTACCTACTTTGGCAATCTTAAGTTCTTTTTTCTTTAAAACATTTCACAAGTTAGGGTTAATACCCCTCATTTTTAATTTTATTGAAAAGCAGGTTATATTTTAAATTTTAAGATAACTCATTGAAATAGTTCTTTGTAGGCAAAGAATTTTATGATATGATCTGAGTTTAACTTACCACCTGGGTCTTATGTGTTTAAAAATTGAAGTGTAGGGATAGTCCAGTTCCCAAAATGTAGCAAGCAGTACGCTTTCTGATCGCGTGGGCAAGAGTCCCTTCTATTTCTCTTCACTCAAGCCTTTTTGATTAGAAAAGCTGGCAGAAGTTTTGTATTTGCTCTAGAGTTATATCCAGGCTAGGGTCTTCTGAAAGTAACGACTACAAAATGTTGGCATTTTAGACACCTGCCTAGGGTGCTGATGAACTCAGATGTGGGACTGACCCGCCCTGCTCATTGGAGCCCTAGCTCATTGGAGCTTGGCTGCTTGGCAACATCTGATGACTAGGAAATGGACACATTTCTGCTCCCAGGTGGTGGCAGACAAAAATTCAAATGGGAACACCTTTGTTCTATCTGTCAGACGGCTGAGTTGGTCTTTTTTCCCTCTTAAGGGCCCCCTCAAATAGCTTAGCTTGTATCTTTACTAATTACCCTTTGTGTTTTGTCTGCTTGAAACTGGACAACTTAAAATACTTGCCCAGTAATGAGAGACGAGCCTGGCGCATTGAGTGTCCTTGGGATTAGAGTGTTCTTGGGTTACAGCTCATTGCCGGCAAGTGATTGAAGAAGGCGCCTGCTCCTGCCCCTGAGCTCGCTAAGGTCCGAGGAGTGGCTGGGGGGTAAGGAGTCCTTCCTCGCCAGACATGGTTTGTGTTTCTGAAGAAAGCCTGTCAGAAGGGACATTCCACCCTGTGTTTTCTTGTTCATGCCTCACATTCAACACTGACGTTTATAGGTGTTTAAGTCTAGTATTGACATGCAGACGATTATAAAATCACTTCCAAGAAAACAGTTTGGAAGAAATGAGGGACAAATTCTAAAGTATTTTCCATCTAGTGCCTGCACTGTAATTGTACAGGTGTGATTTTTCTGTTCAAGGTGAAGAATACCTCTTTTTAGTGGAGGGCAGTATTCTTAAGCACCAGGGATTATTATCAACACATAATTATCTCTTAGGGGAATAAAAATTAAGAAATTGGTAAAAAAAAAATTTTTTTAAGTCCTCATTCGAGGATATGTTTTATATAGATTTTAGAGAGGGGGTTGGGGGAGAAACATTGATGTGAGAAACATCCATGTGAGCCCTGACTGGAATTGAACCTGCAACTTTTTGGTTTAAGGGACAATGCTCCAACCACCCGAGCCACCTGGCCAGGGCAGGAATTAGTCAAATATAAGAAAATCATGCAAATTTAATGAATGTCTGGTAAGTTGTTAATTTACCTAAAGGAAAAATACCTCAGAAATTTGGAAAGGGATAATTACTCCAGTTCTCTTATCCTCGTTGCTCTAACTTAGAGTAGGAGTTGGCAAACTATGGCTCACACGCCAGATCTCACTGGCTACCTGTAGTTGTACGGCCTGTGAGCTGAGAAAGGATTTTACATTTTCAAGTAGTTGGGGTGGGGGGAGAGGAGGAATAAAAAAAGTATTTTATGACATGAAAATGATGTGAAATTCAAATGTCAGAGTTCATGAACACAGGTGTCTTGGAACATCACCCTGTTCATTTGTTTGTATTTACTCTCTGGTCCTTTATGGAAATTTGCTGACCATAGTTCAGAGTGTAAGACAATTTCCCAGGTTCAGCATGTCTCAGCTTTTAGGGTCCTGTTTCTGACATTTCTGCCTTCATTCCTTCCTTTTCCTCCTCTGTGTGTACTATGCCTTTGACCTCCATATGGATGACTTGCCTTTGTTGGTAACAAGCTAGGAATTCTGGCATTTTGTACTTGAACTGTGCTGGTCAGAGCCTCCTGGATGTCCTGTTGGCACTGCAGACTCAGTGTGGTTCAGATTTGATGAGTTGTCTACCCTAAGCTTGTCTGACTTCTGTTCTTGGGTTCTCTGTCTCTGTCCCCTGGTGTCCTCCACCTCAGTTCCATCTCGTCTCCCCTCTGCCCCAGATGGCCACTCCTAGTTCCTGCTTGAGTCCTGCAGTTTCTTACTCAGCTGGTCTCTAACCTGCTCAGGGGTTCATTGTAAATACCATCTGAGTGCAAGAAGATAAGTTGTTGAGCTACTTGAAAAGAATCCAATGGAAATGCATTTTTAACAAGGAGATAATGCAGAGCATTGTATGGATTATGTCATTGCTTTCGCACATTCGTTGATTGTGTCCCTAATGCTAAGTCACAGCACCTCTCTTTAAAAAAAAAAAAGACATTCAGATCAATCCCGGCATCCAAGGCTGTCTGAGAGGACTCCAACCTTTTTTTTTTTTTTTTTTTAAACTCCCGCTCCCCTTCTAAAGTTCTGCCATCACTACACCAAGTAGACCAGGCTGCCCAGAGCCATCACCTCCCCTCGCTCTCATTTTCTCGGGTGCTTGTGTCACTGCTTTTCTTGGAAAGCCCTCCCTTTCCACGTTGTCCCGTCATCCGCGAGCGCCTGCCTCAGTTCACTTTAAACAGCTGTCGAGGAAAGACCTGCACTGTGAGGACACGGATCTTCCTTTGGGTTTGCATGGGGCTTTCTGTTGTCACCTGGACCTCCTCTTACTCTGTATCACTGAATTGGTGAGTTTCTTACCTCCTTGGTTAGATGAGAGATTCCTGAGGGTCAGGTCTGTCTCCTTTCTGTCCTCTGCTCGCGCAGCAGGTGGGTGCTTGCTCAGCTGCCTCACCAGGGTGCCGATTGCTCTGTGTGAGCTGGTTCTTGGGTCTGAGAGGGCATTTGACCTCTGCTAGGCAGTTGCTGTCCAGTCGGAGCACTGGGCTTGCACTGGGTGAGCTGAATGCTTGCCAGACATTACGTTGGCTTCTAATACTATTTCCTGGCAGGTAACCTTGTTTCCACAATAATAATTTAATTATGTCAATTGTTAAAATGAGAGCAAATTACCCTCCCCCCAACTGCCTCCCCCGAAAACCGAGTTGGATTCTTTGGAAAGATTTGATAAAGGTGAGTCACTAAAATAATGGCTGTAGAATTTAGATGTGGCTGCAAATAAGTAAAAGTTGGAGAGGAAAAATAAAAATAGCCCAAGACTCTATGTAGATTGCTTTACAAGGATTTCTTACTAAAAACGGAAGTTGGCCATGATGCATTTATAGATGTGGTGTAGACCAAGCAGAAGGAATGTTACTCTGCAAGGAACTGCATCATCGCTCCTATTCGCCAAGTGCTTTGGCTCATAGTAAGATGGGCAGATAAATGCACATTTATGTGTTAAACTTACGTAAAATGTTTAAGGTACGTATGTACGGTTTTTTTATTTTGCACTTGAGCTTTAATCTCTTTTTTCCTGTGACTTTGGATATGATTGTTTTGGGTATGAAAGCTGCTCCAGTGAATGCTCCGAATTGCGTTATCTAAATGATCGGAGGAACACGAGGTCCC